CACAAAATCTCTTGATGTTCTTGGGCCACCCACAAAGAATATCCCCTCCAAGTATAATTCAGGAACAATGAAATTGTGCATATACTTTCACATTCTTGCTTATTGGACACACTAAGCACTTGTTGGACCTAGAAATGCTTAGGGTTTTTTGTTTGTTTGTTTGTTTTTTGTTTTTCAAGACAGGGTTTCTCTGTGTAATAGCCCTGGCTGTCCTGGAACTCGCTTTGTAGACCAGGCTGGCCTCAAACTCCCAGAGATCCCTGCCTCTGCCTCCCAAGTGCAGGGATTAAAGGTGGGCACCGCTGCCACCACCCTATGAGCTGCTTGATCTTAATGACAAGGAAAGACAAGTTTCAGCAGTGCCAAGAGGAACAAGGGACTTCTAGACTGCACGACATTGTGTGTGACTTACAAATTAAACAACAGAAAAGATCACAAATCTTGGCTTGCTACCAAATCATGCCTTCAGCACCACTGTCTCTCCCACTTGGCTTTATTTTTGTCCTAAGTTGTTTTTGATTGCTGTGATAAAGCACAATTACCAAAAGCAACTGAAGGGGAGAAAGGGGTTTATTTCACCATGCAGCTTAGAGTTCTTAGCTGAAGCAAGTCAAGGCAGCACGTTGAGGCAAGAACTGAAGCAAAGACCATGGATGAACGCTGCTTCTTGGCTTGCTTTTCAGGCTCAAATTCAGCTACATTTCTTAAACAGCCCAGGACTACCTGACCAGGGGACTACTGGGCTTGTCCCCTCCCACATCAATCATTAATTTTAAAAATGCTTCATACATTCGCCTGTAAGGAATCTGATGGAGGTATTCTTTTTAATTGTGTTCCTTCTTCCCAAATTGCTCTAGCTTGTGTCAAGCTGACAAAAAGCTAACTAGGGCACTTCTGAAAATAAAACAAAAAACATCATTTTGTTTCTTGTAAAACAAATATCATAAACACCATTTACTGAAAGCTAATAACAGAGAATGAGGTTTATGAAGACATAAAATTTATAGCCAAAAACCAACCATAGATTAATACACCCAGTGAGAAGAACAATGCACTCACTGTTTAGTACAGAATTATATGTTAAATTAAGTGAAATAGTATACTTTGAAATAAAACTCATTAAGCAAAAAATCTAATGTTTAGTTATAATGGGCTGAGTTTGCAAATTAACATGGAATGTTAAATTTTGTTCAATGTATTTTATTGGTTTGATTATATAAATTGGAACAAACTGAAGAGTTCTTTAACTTAAATAATATTAATCCAACCTTGGCTGAGCACACACTCTGCGCCAGGTCCTAGTGTAGACCCTGGGTGACCTAACGTAATGCTTGCAATGCCCTCGTTGCCTGGGAGCTGTGATGGGCTCCAATTTTAGTTGAGGAACTGAAAGCACAGAGAGATGACCGTTTCATCTCTCCGCAAATAGTTCATATAGTAGCACTGAGATTTGAACCCAGGAAGTCAAGCTCTGGTGCCTGGGTCCTAGTCACTTAAAACAGAGCACTGTATTGAAAATGAAAATAGGGCTTCCAAAGAAATTTTAGTAATTGATTTGAAAATGCCAAGGATGTTAGAAAAACAAAAACAACTTGAAAAGTACAGAGCTGCCTTGGAACACAAAGCTATCTGCTTTCCCTGCTCTAACTTTTAGACCGGATGCCTTCCCAGTTCATTAAGGCAATTCTATCAACTGCTCCTCACCAACTAACTTGTAGCATCCATGCTCTATCTTAGAATGGTTACTATACCACACCTTCAGGTATGTGGGTGGTTCTACCTCCAAGAATTTGCCCACCCCTTCCAACCTGGGCTGAAAAGCTTCCTGCTTTGTTTTCTCCTATCCCAACACCATCCATCCCCGTAGGTCAAGCACACCCATTCTGCTGCTCTGTAAAGATTCGAATTCTCTAGTTCTCTTCTCTCTCAGAACAATTAAGCTTCTACTTCCTGATGTCAGTTCTTTTGATATTTAACTGATCTCAGGAGTACAGGCTTTATTTCCCAGGAGAAATGAGAGCTGCACTCTCCATGATGACGGCAACTCTCCACATGTGGCGATGTAAATTCCAACTAAGTAAGATCCAGTAAAATTAAAATCTCAATTCCTCGATCACATTGGTCACACTTGACGTACTCGGCAGGCCCGGGTGCAATTAGACAGCGCAGGTACAGAACACTGCCACCTCCTAGCAAATTCCAGCAGATTAGAGCAGGGAGCGTCTGCGCCAGCTGTCACAGTTGTGCCTGTATGCTCACTCTCCCTGTAAACACTGTTTCCTCTGAGCACAGAAAGGGATGGAGTTGCTTCACATTTTTTTCCTAGTACACCAAAAAAAAAAAAGGGAACTCAGAAGATAAATCTCAAGTATAAATATCACTCAGCATGTCTAATCAAATCTTAAACCCCTTGGCTTTCCTCCATGCTCAGCTCCCTGACCCCTCTGCTACATTTGGCATTATGTAGGATAGACATGCAGCTCCTGAAAAGTCATCTTTCTTTGCTGTTGCCAAAGCCTAGTGAGCGGTGATTAGGAAGCGCTTGGTGGAACCCAGCCTCAGGCTGACAGTCTCAGCCACTGGCCAGTGTTTCTGTTTTCCACCTTGTTTGGGCAGGGTGTCTCCTGGGTCTGCTGCTGCACTGCATACTCCAGGCTAGCTGGCCTGTGAGCTTCCAGGTGATTCTCCTGTGTGCACCTCCTATCTCACCGAGGGGTGTTGGGATAACTCATGCATATCTTTCTTTGCTCCACTGGCAATGTAACCGCAAAAACAACGACGACTGGTTTACTTATTACTTAGCCCTTGTGCCAGGTAAAGTCTTTTAGATGCCTCAGCCTACACACTAGGCAAGAGCTATTGCTATAAATCGCAAAGGGTTTGAAATCTGAAACCTTCTGAACATCAGAAGCATTCAGAATTTTGAAACATTTTGAATTCCAGATTTCAAGAATAGAGATGTTTAACTTCCAAAGGCTATGTAACTATTGCAAAATCAGGAAAACTATGAAAGAAAGATGGCCCAAGTATTTCAGATGAGAGATACCCCCCTCCTGCATCTCCATTTCATAGGGATCTGAAGTTCAAAGAAGTTCATTTGATTTGTTCAAAGTCACTGCAATAATGGTCCTAGGACTGCCAGCCAAACCTCTTGCAAGGTTCTTCATGTGAAGTCACTACAAGACCAAATAAATAAAAGCAGCCAGGTGGGCTGTGAGAAGCAACATCAAAGAACAGAAACAACCTATGCAAAATTGTCTCCTCATTCCACTAGTCTGCCTTTCAGTTAGAATCAATAGCCAAAATAGCATGCATTTTCTTGGCAATTCACTGAATCTGTGGCATAGTACAATTGGCAAAAGAAATGGATGAGTCCCCAGCAGGCAACTATATTGAGAAAGAAAGTAGGTTGGTGGTTGTTTTGGCTAAGAGAAGGTGAATTTGCGATGGGCATTTAATGGCTATGGACCTCTTCGGGGGCGTGGTGAAAAGCTGTGGCGCTAGATTATTGTAATGAACAAATGGCCTTGTACAAGGACCTCTAGTCCACACACTTTTTATGCTGTAGTATATGGCATGGGAATTATACCTTTGATTTATTATTTTCAAAATGAGTAATTTCCATTACGTTTTTTTCCTCCTCACTTGCCTCCACCAGGCAATGTAAATAGAGCTTTCCAGCTGCCTGGCAACATCACCCCTATTTCCATGCTACATTTCGTGAGAGCACTTCTTTCTCTTTGAAGCTAATTTAGATGTTCACTTTTATTAGATTCCAACCCCCCCCCCCCATTTTAAGTAGATTTCTTAAAAAGTAAAGTGCCAGGGGTAAGGTTGTAGAGTGGACACACTTGTGTTTTGATTTCAGGCTCGGAGTCTATCTGTGGGTGATACTAATGAGGGAATAGGCTGTAAACTGAAAAGCCAGATACTTTAATCCCTAAAGAGTGCATAGAAAAAAAGAAAAAACAAACCCAAGTCCTAGAGGATACATGGTCGATTTTTGCCTTAGATCTCTTAGGCTTCTGCAGCCCAAACCAAGCATTCTACAGAAGGAAGCCATCCTTCCTTTCTAGCTATTGGGTTTCTCTACCCAACGCCCCCCAGAGACTGGTATTCTGCAAGTGCCCTTGCTAGTCACCCACTGCTGATTACTGCCCTTCCTGCATTCTCCCCTTGTGGGTACCCTCTATTGCCCTGATAGCACAGCTCCTGGAAGGCCTGTGAACCCTCTTCCCCAGCTGCAGTGGCTTGGAATGGTCACTCTTCCCAAGCGTCACATATTTTGAAGGTGTTTCAATACTGTAAAAATGCCGAGATCTTTTTGACAAGGTGACTTTGAGACGTCTTTCTTCATGCTGATCTGAGAGTTGGGTGTGGCTCAGGAGTCATATCTTCAGCCTGCCCTTTTTGCACAGTTTTGGTGCTTTACAAAAGGGGAACTAGACCCCGGAACACTACCTAGAATTCAGAGGCCCGCCTGGAGGCTTCACTTAACTAGCTCTTTAAAAAAAAAAAATTATCTATTTATTTTACATCCTGGCCACAGCCTCCTTCCCCCACATCCTCCCCTCCCAGTTCCTCTTCCTCATTAGCCCCCTCCCACCCCCCTAAACCCCTCCTATTCCATCTCCATTCAGGAAAGGGAGGTCTCCCATGAATATCAACAAAACATGGCATAGCAAGTTGCAGTAAGACTAAGCACCCCATGTATTAAGGCTGGGCAAGGCAACCCAGTATGAGAAGGAGGGTCCCAAAGCCCATAAAAGAGTCAGAAACAGCTCCTGTTCCTACTTTTAGAAATTTTACAAGAAGACCAAGCTACACCACTGTAACATATATGCAGAGATCTAGGTCAGTCCCATGAAGGCTCCCTGGTTGTGGGTTCAGTCTCCGTGAGCCCCTATGAGCCCAGGTTAGTTGATTGTGTGGGCCTTCCCATGGAGTCCTTAACCTGGTTTGGCTCCTACAAACCTCTTCCCCCTTCTCCTTCTCCACAGGATTCCCGAACCCTGCCTAACTTTGGCTGTGGATTTCTACATCTGCATCCATCAGTTGCGACTGACACCTCTCTGATGATTGATAACTGGGCCAGGCACCAATCTGGTCACAGTAGACTGCCACAGTAGACATCTTGAGAGATCTGTGCTTTTAGCGGGGAAGGGGTTTTTGGATCTTGAGAGTCTTATGACTGTCAACATTTTCAGTGTCCCTTGTCCTAAAGCCTAGAGTTAACCATAGAAATTGACTGATTGTAATAGCTAATCTTGGCTGTCAAGTTAATAGAATCTACAATCACCACTAGTCTCTGGGTGTGCCTGGGAGGGTTTAAGATACAGTTAATGAGGTGGAAAGACTTCACTATTGTGGGTGATGATAGCATTCTGTGGATTGGGGTCCTGGACTGAATAAAAAGGAAAACATGCACATTGCTCACTTTTTGCTTCCCAGTTGCTGCTGTTGTGTAGCCAGCTGCCTCCTGCTCTTGCTGCCGTGATGGACTGTATCCCTGAAACCGTGAGCCCAAAGAAGTCCCTCCTCCCTTAAGCTGCTTCTGTTGGGTATTTTATTACTGTAGCGGGAAAATTAATCAATATACAGATGGACCTAAGAATGTTAGAAACAGGGACATTCTCTCTTAGTTTCTTCCAGTAGGGCAAAGGAACAGGGAAATAAGAGACCAAAGGATTTAGTGACCTGGAGCGCCAGAGAGTCTTTAGACTGAAAGTAGAGAAGCTGATTGAGAAGAGGAATCAGATGGCAGGAAACGTACAGGTTTATACCAGCCCTGGGAGACTCCAAAGGAAGTATAATAGGAGTCCTACCCTTCAGGTCTTATAATGATTTAGTTGGAACATAAAAACGAATACACTTGAAATAATTCATAATTTGAGTCTAAAATGTAGTGCTGGCAAAATACAACCTGCCTGAGAAGGGACAGATCCATGGACTGACCTCCTCCTTGAGCCGAGGGGGTGATTAAGTTTACATATTCAGCTGAAGGACTTTGTGCCCTAGGTGTGATGGCCACAGCATTTGGAGTAGAGTCTGATTAGCCCTGCCTGACGACTTCATAGAGGAAGTAACTCCGAGGAGCCTTCATCACCACTGTCATGGCGAGTCGCACTAAACAATTCGTTAGGCATATCCTTACAGTCACACTCTGTTGGGAAGGCCAAGCAAACAGACTTGAAGGACTCGTACAAGAGAGGATGTGTACAGGTAGCACAAGGAAAGGAAAATGAGGGGAGAGGAGGTTAGAGATGGCTTGGCAGGGTTAGGGCTGACTCCTGAAAAAAAAGACGAGAGCCTGGACTCATGGGGAAAGGGATGAAGCTGTGCATGGCATCAACAAGACACAGAAGTGGGGGTGAGCAGGATGACTGTGGACAAGTGAGCAAACCTGCTGGACTGGTGTAAAAGGTGTGCAGTATGGTAGCGTGGGTGACTAAAATTATAGAGAGGCAGGAGTGATTACAGATAGCCTTGGATGGCAGGCAGAACAACTAGTCATTTGTAGACTGTAGAGCTATGTATTGGGGAGCCACCGGCGAAGGCACAGGCACGAGGCAGAAAGACTGCAATTTTATCCTACTATCTTTATCGTTTTGTTTTTCTCTGTTTGGATACCTAATTCACCTTATCCTAGTGAAGTGGATAAGTTGGTCATTCCACCTGACATCCTCCTTCTTAGCTGTTTGCTAAAGCAGGCAGCACACACTTTTAATCCCAGCACTTGGAAGGCAGAGGCAGGTGGATGAGTTTGAGCCTGAGGGCAGCCTGGTCTACAGAGTGAGTCAGCCAGGGCTACATCGTGAGAGATCTTCTTGTCTCAAAACAAACAAACAAACAAGCAACCAAGCAAAATAACAAAGCCCCCAAATAAAAATAAATAAAAAAGGAAAGCAACCCCTGTGCCCTGTGCCCCACTGGTGGAACACCCATCTTCCGGCACCCATCTTCTAAGCCATCGGCAGTTTTTAAGTTAGTCTCAATAGTGCCACCACAAAAGAGGAAGTATGAGCAGCTGCTAGACCAGGGGCAGCTGCACTTCAGAAGACTACCTTCCAAGTGGGATCTGCCCCTCAGTCAACTCTTGGGAAAGGAAGCGATAAACGAGGGAGTTTAAAATGCACACACACTCACACACACATGCACACGCACACACTAACTGACAAAGACTACATCTATCTTGAGGTCATTCATATTTCGGTGGCTGCTTTTTGGCCACTCCTCTCATAGATTCCCCTTGCTGACTTCCTCTGGTAGAAGGAGGTCGGCACTGGCAGGGTCTGCTCCGTTTCGTTACTCAGAGGCCGCTGTTTTCCTTTTTTCTTGGGGGGTTAGGATTATGCAAATGAAGCATGAAAACAAAAGCTCTCTGAGGTGGAGGAGGACTGCCTTTACAAATCCTGGCAATTTTAAGAGCTCTTTAATAAGACACCCCTCTCCGTTTTCATGAACATCTCTCTTGGCTCCTTGCCAGTCTATTTTGAATCCGGCCCCTCTTCGGAGCCTTTTAACCAAACACCTAAAAGTTTATTCTGAAACTTCTGCCCTGGCCTCATTTTGAAAGTGCAGAAATCAAGGCATGCATGTGCTATCAGTGTCTGTGGGCTGGCTTTTGAGTTTTGCTCCCTGTCTGATTCAGTCTTCCCTTTGCTGCATACAGCTTTACCTGGACAGGAGCTCTGACCCAGTTCCCTCTTAGGTTCCCACTTTTCTGATATTATCTGGAGGGCAATAGGACCTGGGGAGGTTCAACCCTGCGGCCAAGGGAGACACACCTGCCTAACCGCGTGGGTTGAGCGAGTGTGGGAACGAGCCACTTTAGCTGGCTGTGGAGGGAGGGGTAGAAGTGGGTGCCTGCTGCTGCTCCCGTAGAAAAGGAAAGCTGTGGCTCCCTCCTGGATCCAGAGGTCATGGTGAGAGATGTTGCGGAAGACTGGCTCAGGCTCCTTTTTGTTGCGCCTAGCTACCTGGAGCATCCCTTGGCTAGTCGTCTTGGAACGCTGGCTCATTTTGTTTTGCCTCAGCTGTCCCTCCCACTCGCCCGGCCCACGCCACCACCACCCCGCCCAAGAGATCCAGGTGCCACAGGTCCCAAAGCCCAGGACCCGCCGCACTTCTCAAACTGTGCCTTCCTTAGCAAAGTGACTCTGTGAAGAAACCGCTCCAGCCTCTTCTGTTCAGTACTGCGCACTCCGCTTCTTTCTGGAGAGACCTCGCTAGGGGACGGTGGTGGCATTACTCCAGCCCCCAGACAGGCGGTCTGGAGGGCGGGGCTTGGAGAACCTTCCTGAGAACCCTTGCCTCTCAGCAGGTCCTGAGAGCTCTCTGGTGCGCAAACTCCAGCAGACAGAAGCGCTAATAGGCACAACCTAGCAGCAGGTTGGATGGATACCTAGTTGCTGAACTAAATCCTCCAGGCTGTGCCCCTTCTGCCTTGGTTTGGTTCTCCGCTGATTTGAGAGGCCACACTGATGAGAATTCCCCCAAGAGAAGCTACTGGCTGTGTGATGCGCCACCCCAGAGTGGCTACTCCCCTGCCTCGGGTACTGTGAAAGGAGCCTCGGTGGAAACAGCTGTTCCTTGACTTTCCACACTCCTGGAATTGGATACCAGCCTCAGTGCTGGGGCGCTTGTCCTAGCTTCTCAGCATCTATGTTGATGATCGCATTAGAGTGAAGTTCAAAGAGATACTTCTGGACTCGCGATTTCAGACTCTTCAAGTTAAGCTTAGAAGAGAGGTGGCTCCTGTTCTGACTTGTTGGGCTTCGTTCAGGAACTTGACTTGCCACAGTCCACCTGACTGATTCTTGGACAGCAGTGGCCACGGGGGCTCTATTGGGGATGGATGGGGAAGAGCTCTGAACTCCAGACCCAACGAGATCCTCCACAATGGACAGAGTTTATGAGATTCCCGAGGAGCCAAATGTGGTTCCGGTTTCATCTCTGGGAGAAGATGTCATTCGTGGACCTAACCCACGCTTTACCTTTCCGTTTAGTATCCTCTTCTCCACCTTTTTGTACTGTGGGGAGGCTGCGTCTGCCTTGTATATGGTTAGGGTTTATCGAAAGAATAACGAAACCTTCTGGATGACATACACCTTTTCCTTCTTTATCTTTTCATCCATTATGGTTCAGTTGACCCTCATTTTTGTCCACAGAGACCTGGCCAAAGATAGACCACTATCATTATTTATGCATCTAATCCTCTTGGGACCTGTTATCAGGTGAGCATTTTTAAATCTCTCTGTACGGAGGAGGAGGAAGCTAATCTTTGTATGACTGATGCTGTCTTTCTAATCAAATTTTTCCGTTTGTGTTTCTAATCTAATTTTTCCATTTCTTCTCTCTCGACTTTCCTGTCTACTGTCCCAAGACTTTATCTGAAAACATCTTGGAAACCACCATGGTGACCTTGTGGCGTGTATATGTGTTCAAAAACCATGAGCAATATCATTAAGATGACTTGATTAGACAATTCTTACTGAGTTTGTGTTGTGGAAACCGGTATGGGACCAAAAGAATGTGGTCTTGGGCATAGCTCCAGAGGGATTTTTCACTTTGCTAGGAATGAAAGCCAGGGTGGTGGGCATACTAAGTGCTGTTCCACTGAGCCATAGTCCCAGCCTCCAGAGTCTGTAATTTGAATTCTGCCCTTTAGATGCTTCCTGAATGGATACTCATTCATTCCTGCTCCCACTCTGCCCCGCATTCAGTTTTCACAAGTTGAACTTCTTGAGCGGGCCTCTTTTTTGTCATTTTCAAAACTTCTGGAGTTCTGTGACATCTGGAAAGTACTTTACTGTAGTAGGTGGTGGCAAGCTGGTACTATAACCCAAGGAAGTTGTCTTTTCTATGTCGGTAGATCAGTCTCTCTCTTGCTTATCTCACATTGTGTTGCTGCAATAAAAGCACACCGACTGGAAGGGCCAAAGGAAGAATGCCCACCTCTGTCTGGAATTAGTAGCAAAGGGCATTGGTATATCCGGTGTTCACATTCAGACTGAGCAGCGTGAGCATGTGCTTAATTGCAGGGAGACGGGCATCGGTGCCCGCAGACTCACCTGGATGCTATGGAGTTTCACGGGAGACAAACATTGCATAACTTATGAAGTCAGTAGGGAGGAATGGACCAAGTTTGTCATGACTGTAAGAGAGGCAAACATCTGCAGTCAGCTGAGGAATATGGGTCACAATGTTGATGTTGTAACTGCAAGAGGAAGATAGCGCATCATTAGAGATCTCAAAATGGCCTGTGAAACTTATCAAGAATGGAACCGCCTTTGATAAAATTTATTACCTATCTATACATCTCTTTAATTCTGTTTGTCAACTGTATTTCCTTAAATCTGGGAAATGTCAGTCAATATTGTAACGTTCCATCCCAGAAAATGTGGGATATCTTCACAAAGCAGTGGCCTGAATTAGTTCAAGAATCTAGTCCTCCTTCTGTCATTCAGCAGGCCTGTGATCTCAGTGACATCTCTTAAAGATGTCTTGGGACTCAGTTCCCTCAGCTGTAAAATAAATGCGTTGGACTAGACCTTGCGTTCCAAATCCTAGTGCTCACAGGGGCTAGGCATATCCTATATGAACAAACCAAGTGGGCCAAGCATTAGAAAATAGTCTCACATATGTTGATGAATGAAAACAACGTCTCAGTGGTAAAGAAATGGAATACCACGGCAAATTGGAATCTGGGACGTGCTTGTCTGGGAGGCAGCCATTTTAAAATTATAAGCCATTGTTTCTAGGTTGGAATTCAGACTCAGTATTGCCAGATCTAACTTTTGAGGAGAAGTTAGTTCCCAAGAACAGGGTTTTATGTGAGATGCCATGATTTTAAATTTGGAAACTTACTAACTTCAAAAATGCAGTATGGGCCATACTAATTGCGTACTATCCAGATGTGTCTCAGCTGGCCCTATGTAGCTTTTGGATTAGGTGATCTACAGATACTTTTCCGATCTAAGTGTTTCAAGTTGACTGTAAAAGGAAGACTTTAACTTAGAACCGTGATGTTTCAAGATGTCACTAGAGACTCAAAACAACCATTAATTTTGTTCCTTTTCAAAATGCAATATACTGAATTAGCAGTTGAAGAGGATGCAAATTTAGCAAGTACCCAGTCCTTGGTTTTTACTTCCTTTTTTTGTTTGTTTGTTTGTTTGTTTGTGGCCTTCTAAGCTGTTTTTGACTTTGCTCTGCCTGGAGTGTTGTTCACTATTTTTCAGATTTGTCCTTGAGCTGTAGTGCACGCAGATTGAAATGCATTTATAACCTCAGTTACTCTAAGCCCACATCAGGAAGAATAATTCTTTTTTAATTGAAAATTTTTATATATTTTGAGAATTTCCTATATACATACTGTATTCATATCATTTCCACCTCTTTCCCCTCCAACTCTTTCTGTGTTCACCCACTCCCTTTCAAATTCACGACTCTTCTTTAGTTACTATTGGTATATCAATTATGTATTTATAAATATATATATATATATACATACTTGTTAAGTTCATTTAGTGTTGCTCATATGTGTATGTGTTTAAGGCTGATCAATTGGGATTGACCACAAGGTAACCCATAATGTGGTCCTGTTTCTGTTCAAGACTGATCCTCCCTCCCTCAGCAGTCATTCATTGCCTGTACTTCTTCAGGAAAACAATTGTCAACCCAGAAGTGGTACTATTTATATGCTTGTTTTCACGGTCCATTCCTTTCTTCATTAAGTAAGAGTTTGATTACTGCTATCAGGCAAAGGAAGCTGTTTCTAGGGCATGGCTCTCTTACATGAAATGCAAGCATGCTTCTGGAAATGAAGATGTACTCTGGTTTACTGTAGCTCGGGAGTAAGGTAAGAACCCTTTCTTAAACTAGCAAAATAGCACAAGAATAGAAGCATAAACAGAATACCTCATTGCCACTGCCCCAATATTTTGTTAAGCAATAGTATGGGTGGGCTTGAAAATGGTTAGATACTTCCCCCTAACTAGTGAGAGTTGCAACTTCTTTCTTTCCTTCCTTTTCTCGTTCAGGTCTTACAGTTTGTCTATCAAAGATGGAAATTTCAGGGCTGGGAAGACGGCTCAGTGGATAAAGCACTTACTGTGTAAGCATGAGAATTTGAGTTTAGGTTCCCAGAACCTTTGTACAGCTGAACCTGGAGTGCCAGTACTTCCATAGTGAGATGGGAGGCAAAGACGAGAAAATCCCCAGAAGCTAGCAGGCCAGCAAGCCTGGTGCACACAAAGAAAACTACCTCAAACAAGGGGGATGGCAAGGACCAACCCCCAAGGTTGTCTTCTGATCTCTACATACACAGATTATGGCACATGTATGCTTCTCTCTCTCTCTCTCTCTCTCTCTCTCTCTCTCTCTCTCTCTCTCTCTCTCTCTCTCTCTCTCTCCACACACACACACACACACACACACGTGCTCAAAAGTGGAAATTTCTTCTGTACATTTTGGAGTAGCACACCTAAAAAAATTCTAGACCTCGTGGAAAATGGCAGCCAGTACTTATAGTCTAAATCATCCTATTAACAGCCAAAGTCTAGGAGCCACATCAACCCTGAACTTGCCTTTAATCTGTTTTCCTGGTAAGTCACTCCCAGTTATCCTCCCCTTCTGCCACTTCTCACTTGCCTTCTCTTTCCCATTCTCATGCTTTCATCTGCTCAGCAAATGTTTATCAAATTCCCACTATGTGATAAGAGCTGGCAGCAAGAGAAATGGAGCCTCTGCCCTCAATCTATTGGAGAAGATGTCTTAATTTGCACTACAAATATTCTTGTCAAAAATAGTCAAGTGTCCATTTTTTCGGGGTAAGTGTGGGGGGGGAAGCAATAACTCAGGTGTAACAAGACAGTGTGTACTAGCTGCTTTTCGCTTCTGTTTACCGCATCAGAGCTGCCAGGGCTTGGGATTTTGATAGGGCATGTGTGGGAGGGTCACGGCAGGAAGTAGACTGTCATCAAGACTTCAAGGGTAATATGCTCTGCTAAGGCTATTTTCTTCATAAAGAAATAACCAGGTTTAAAAGGGATCTGTCTCCAGCAAGAGGCACACACAAAAAGAAATGTTTTCTTATAAAAGCAGATCTTAAGAATCTCAATTACGAAGCTGAATGCATTTATTAAAGAGTGTTTGAATTGAGGTCTTGTGAAAACCAGGGCCTTTTGAAGCCTTCATCTTTATCTCAGAACATACTATTTCTTAATACTTTTGTATTTGAGACATATTTTTAAGAAACACAGGCACATTTTTGAGGAGATAAAACAGTTCCTTGACTACAAGGAAATATTTCTGAAATGGTGTTCTTAGGCCAGTAGGTGACCAGAGAGGAAAAAATAAAACTTAGACTCAAGTGGCTTGGACAAGGTATGGCCAACCCTTTGATTCATGTACAATGGACAGAAGAAAAAAATGCCAAAAAAGTAATAGAACCTTCCCCAGATATTTCCCTTTTATGACACCTTCCTTTCTTGGGACAATTTTAGCTAAGTTCCCATGATGCTTTACTCCCGCAGATGTTTGGAGGCCATGATTAAGTACCTTACACTGTGGAAGAAAGAGGGGCAAGAGGAGCCCTATGTCAGCCTCACCAGAAAGAAGATGCTAATAGATGGCCAGGAGGTGCTGATAGAATGGGAGGTGGGCCACTCCATCCGGACCCTGGCTATGCACCGTAATGCCTACAAACGTATGTCACAGATTCAAGCATTCCTGGGCTCAGTGCCTCAGCTGACCTATCAGCTTTATGTGACTCTGATCTCTTCAGAGGTCCCCCTGGGTAGAGGTGAGTGGGGTCAAGAGAAGGGAGGGCTCTGTTTAAACCAAGAGTCTTGGAAGTTTAGGCCTGAACTGTCCGATAGACTGGTTACTAGCCTTGTGTGCGATTTAAAGAAAAAAAACAACCAAAAGCCATTGAAAGTACATTTCCTCAGTAGCGATAGCCACATTGCAAATGCTCAGTGCTGTGTCTGGTTAATAACGCAGCGTTCTGAGATGGCATAGGTTTAAGATGCTTTCATCATAATGGAAATTCTATTGGAAAGCACTTGAACTTAGGGAGTCAGACATCTCAGACCTGCCAGGATTCTTAAACTGGGACAAGCTATGTTTATACTCAAAATTTCACAAACACACCCTTTGGCCACAGCAGCCGTCAGAATCAAAGAAAAATTTCCCTTGTCTGGAATGTGTACATTGTGCTGCTAGTTGCTTAATTTGTTTAGAGATGGCCACCTTTAGAGAAAAAGTTCTTAAATATTTCTCTCTATTTTTCTTTTTTTGTTTTGTTTTTGGTGATTGGGTCTCACCTTATATTCCAGGCTGGTCTGGGAACTCACCATCTAGCTAGCCCAGGTTGACCTCTAACTCATGACCCTCCTGCTGCTGAGCTTCCCATGTGCTAAGACTATAGTATAGACAAGAACCGGCATGCCTGGCTTGGAAGGTTCTTTTGAAAATTCCCTTCGCTCCTCATACCTGAGTCGATCAGAGTGTGGGAAGGCCAGGAATCTGCATTTGTAAAAAGGACCCTCATTGATCCCATCTAGTTTCACTAAAGAACCACAGATTTCATCATTTTCTCCCATGGTAGTGGAGAGACAGAATAGGGCTGTGGGATGGATACAGGTCAATCAGGCCTGCTCCAAGATCTGCCCTTGTTTCTCTGTGATCTCTGAAGGAACTTAGAAAGCAGTCACTGCCGTAAGTTCCTACTGGTAAAAGGATGGGTCCCTAGATGAGTAAGACCTCTGGCAGAGGATGAAATGAGTCAGTATTGTCAGTGCTGACATCAAATGTTGTTATTGAATTTTACCAGCCCCATTTTGCTTCATCTGGTTGGACAGATGCTGCTTCAGATGTGGGCACAGCTTGGGCCATTTCTTTATTAGTAAGTGCTGATCCTATTTGACAAAGTCCTCTGTCTTAAAAAAAAATGCAAGGGGGCAAGTCTATCTCTTTTTCTCCATTAACGATTGATTATGAAGTTCTGTTGCTTTGGAAGATTTTTACAAGTGTACTATGTGACAGTAGTTTGAGGAAAGCATTGTCTGGAAATGATGCTGCTTTTCTTCCTGAGGATTTTGGGAGCTGGGCAATCATCTAATTAAAATATGTATACATTATGAAAGTGTTGAATGTGCAGACTGATTGACCTACAGGTAATTGTGTCCACACAGAAAAGTCTACCCCAAGAGGGGCTGAGAAATCCACAGAGTTGTGACTTTCTAAATTTTCTGTAAAAAGTTTACATCTTAATATACTACTAGTTTTTGTTTTTATTATTTATTTATGGTCTTTTGAGATAGGGGTTCTTTGTGTAGTCCTGCCTGACCTGGAACTCACTCTATAGACCAGGCTGGCTGTGAACTCACAGAGATCCACCTGCCTCTCCTTTCAAGGCAGGAATTAAAGGCATGCACCACTACTGCCTGACTAAGGGCTGTCAGAAGTTTGGTAACATTTCAGGCCATGTAGAATAGAGAGAAAATAGAATGTCGCTCATCCAAAGTCATGTTTGTTAACCATTCTAGACTCCTCTTTACTATGTACACATACTGGGCTGTGGGTATAGCTCAGTGGGAGAGTGCCTGGACAGTGCCTGCTACCATGTTGAAGGTCTTAGATTAATCTTCAGACTGCAGGGAACAAAAACATGTATATGTTCATATGTGAAATACTCAATTTTACATATTAAAATATTCATTGTTTACATTTTGCCTTTCTTGCCATATTTTTATACCAATCTTCTAAATAGATTCATTTCCAGGCTCAATTTGCAAATTGCCATATCTTTTACATTTTTTAAAAATATATATATGAGTTTGCCTGGACATATGTATTTGTATCACTTGTATGCCTAATGCCCGTGGAGACTAGAAAAGGGCATTAGATTCCCTGGAACTGTAGTTAAAAGCCACCATATGGGTGCTAGGAACTGAACCTGGGTCCTCTGGAAGAGCAGCAAGTGCTCTTAACTACCAGTCACCTATCTAGCTGCCGAGAATTGTTTATATTAATTTTTAAATTATGAGTATGTATTTATGTATGAGTCTGTGTGTGGTATGTGCACATGAGTTCAGGTACCTTTGGAGGGAGGAGGCAGAGGCATCAGATGGCCCTGGGGTGAGTTACAGGTCACTGTGAGCTGCCCCTGGGGTGAGTTACAGGTCACTGTGAGCTGCCCAGTGAGGTTGTTAGGAAGAAAAGTCAGGTTCTCTTCAAGGCAGTAAGTGCTCACAACTGCTGATCCATCTCTCCAGCCTCCATTTTCTCAATCTTAATAAGCAATAACCACAAAAGAAGAAATACCCTGATTTTAGATTGAGTTAAATTAGTTAGGTATGGGGGTTTTATATGAATAATCAATTCTATGTTGAATGTTGAGAATAGAAACATGGGTAGCTTAGAAAACTAAGAACAACCACTTTGCAATTCTCCATTTAGGCCTTTGGGAAGAGGGAGGAGGAGGTAGAAGAAATAGAATTTACTAGCTTCTAGACATTTCTCTACATATTTGGCATGTAATTATTTCATCTTCATGGCAACTTTATCTATGAGGTGATTATTATCCTCATTTTATACAAGATAAAGTGATAGACACAGAAGTTAAGTAAATCCTCCCCGAGGTTCTGTAAGTAGGCTATGGGAATGACTAGACTCGGTGTCTTGTTAGGAGCCCATGTTTCTGACTACAGCAGTGTTCAATCTCTTATGGTTAGTCTATTTGTAGAGGGATATATGGAAATGTTTTGGCACTTATTGCAAACATCAGGTTTTCATCCTTTGATAGCACAACTATCAGTCACAGAGTTTGAATTTCAGGGAAAACATTGCCTTCTTGGCTAGATGTCCATTATGATCAGCTTATCAAAGAGCATCGTATCTTTCAAATAGGAGCAAGAGTGGTTTAGAAAGACAAGGGCAACTACTTTCCCATTCTCCATTTGGGGTCTTTGGGATTTTAACACTCTACTCAATGCTCAGGAAGATTTTATAAGTAAACCCATGCTTCCTTTTGGATTTTCATGGGAGAAGGTTTCCATTTTCTCACAGCTGGACATGTATCTTTTCGGCTCCAGCTTCCCTGGGTCTCCTGTTTTTGTGGGATTAGAACCGTATATGTTTCAGGTCTACAGTGTGAAGTTTTGACATATGTTTATCACTTCATGGAATTACTATTTGTGCGTGTGAACACTTCCAGAAAAATTACAAGTGTGAAGTAGAATGCCAACTTGTACATCAGAGCTCCCAAACTTAATCATTTTGTGACAGAAGGTTTGTTCCCTTTGGCAAAAAACCCTCTTGTTTTCCCAACCCCTGGCCCCTGGTACCATTGCCCTACTCTGTTTCTTTGAATCCAATTTATTTATGAGATTCCACTTATAAATGGGGTAGTACATTATTTTTATTTCTGAGTCTGGCTCATTTCACTTAGCACAATGTCCTTGATATTCATCCATTTTATTGCAATGATGCAATTTCCTCCGAATCATTGTTGAGTGACGCCTACTGCATATGTGTACCATTTTCTTTACCTCTGCACTCATCAATGGACATTTAGATTGCTCCCATATACCATCTGCTTTGTGTCTTGCTGCAGTGAATAACATAGCAGGGCAAATATATCTTTGAGATACCGACTTTCTTTGTGTATGTAACCAGTGGTGGAATTGTTGGATCATATGGTAGTTCTGTTTTTCATTTTTTTTAGTTACTTTCATGCTGTTTTCTATGGTGACAGTATCAATTTATATTCCAAATATGTATCAAAGTTCCATTTTCTCCATATCTTTGTTAGTTTTTTTAAAAATCTGCATCCATCCTAGCAGGCAATATCTTATTGTGGTCATTCTTTTCATGCCACACAAGGGTGCTACCACTGAGATGTACTACCAGCCCTCACTGTGAATTTCATTTTCATTTTTCTAATGGTCCATGATATTGAGCATAGTCTTCTATATCTGCCACCCATTTAAGATGTTTTTGTAAAAAAAAAATGTGTATCCAGGTGCATGCTGTTAGTGTACCTAGTGTGATCGTAAGTCTGCATATATACATATATATGTATATATAAGTATATATAACCCTTAAATAAGTCTACTTTTACTTGAAGTATTCAAGCCCTGACCATCATCTCTGGACCTGTGGTTCTGAATACAGCTTCACCACAAACATCAACTGATTGTCTCATTCCTTCCTTTGCAGTTGTCCTAATGGTTTTCTCCCTGATATCTGTCACCTACGGCGCCACCCTCTGCAATATGTTAGCTATCCAGATCAAGTACGATGACTACAAGATTCGACTTGGGCCCCTGGAAGTACTTTGCATCACCATCTGGAGGACATTGGAGATCACTTCCCGCCTTGTGATTCTCGTGCTCTTCTCGGCCACCTTGAAGTTGAAGGCTGTGCCATTCTTAGTGCTCAACTTCCTGATCATCCTCTTTGAGCCCTGGGTTACATTTTGGAGGAGTGGCGCCCAAATGCCAAACAATATTGAGAAGAATTTCAGCCGGGTTGGCACTCTGGTGGTACTGATTTCTGTCACCATCCTCTACGCTGGCATCAACTTCTCTTGCTGGTCAGCCATGCAGTTGAAGTTGGCAGACAGAGACCTTGTTGACAAAGGTCAGAACTGGGGACATATGGGACTGCACTATAGTGTGAGGTTGGTAGAAAATGTGGTCATGGTCTTGATTTTTAAGTTCCTTGGAGGCAAAGTGTTACCGAATTACTGCCATTCCTTGATCGCCGTGCAGCTTATCCTTGCTTATGTGATTTCCATTGGATTCATGCTCCTTTTCTTCCAGTATTTGCACCCTTTGCGCTCACTCTTCACCCATAACGTAGTGGACTACCTCCACTGTATCTGCTGCCGCAGGCACCACCCGGAGAGGGCTGAGAACGCAGAGCCATCCGGTGAGGCTGAAACAAGACAGAGTAGTGTCTGAATTTTTTTTTCTTCTGAACATTATAGGGTGGGTTTGGGATTGACAAGAGCAACTGTGAAATTGAAGGAGACCCCTATGTGTGTGTGTTCTTCCAGATTCGTTTTTTCGACTCTTTTAGTAATCCTAGTGCAAGAAAGACTGACGTCCAAATAGGGTTTCCTTTTTTTAGGATTGACTGCTATGTTTGGGTACCAGCTCTAATCACTGTTTGTTAGTTCATCCTCCTCCTACCCAAGCCAGTTGGAATAACTTCCGGGTACCTTCCTCTGGCTCCGCATTTCCAGCTTTGCCCATCTGTTTGAGTTATCACTGTTGCGTCTCCCTGGGCTGATCTGAACTCGACCAGGACACATCTGGACTGACCAGAGGATATGACAGCTTACTAGAAATGAGCACCTCCCAGAAAACAGTCTGAGCCTTGTGGTACCTTTACCTGTGAGAGTGGCTGAGATATTTTGATTCCAATGAGAGACTGTGGCTAAGAAGAAGAAGAAAGCTACTCCCCAGATAAGCTAACACTCCACTAGGATTTTACCAGTGGTCATTCAGCAAAGACTTCTCTTTTTAGAAGCCTTCCTAGGCACCCCTTTATAGAAGGGTATGCAGAATAGGATTCATTCAGGGAATAAATCAGAATGGCATATTTTTTTTTCAAGGCAGAACTCAAAGTCACTCCGCAGCTAAGAACTATGTAGTTTGAACTCCTGATCTTTTTTGCCTTTGCCTTCCGAGTACTGGGATTGCAGATGCATGGCAATGCACCTGGTTTATATGGTGCTGAGGGTTGCATCCAGGCCTGGGCAAGCACCACTTAGGTGGTGCTGAGCACTGGACCCAGGGTCAGATAAGCACTCTACCAACTGAGACATCCCTGCCTCCCCCCAGGATGACTCTTAAGGAACAATGTAGGCTTCTAGCTCCATTGAGGGAAATGTTTGAGCGAAATTTCTCAGCTGGTTCCCCATTATTAGGGATTCCCTCCAATCCAGCTTTTCTGTCGCTTTGCATTTTGTTACTTGATGGAAACATCAGAGAAGCCGAACTGTAACTGAAAGTGTTTATGACCTGTGAAAGAAAATGAAGATTTCTTTGTGTCTGCTACTGTCCTGAGTGCTTCATTGATTTTCATTTAGGGGGATAAAGTCGTAATGGCTAAGGCAGCACCTTCCTGCTGTTTTGAATTGGGCTGGGTGACTCCTCAGCAAAGGAAAGGTGGAAGAGAGAAGCTGATCACATGAGATTATCAACACTGCTTTCTCCCTGGGGGATTTTACTTGCTATTGGGGAATGTAGGTTTTTTTTTCTCAATCTTTCTGTCATTAACAAACCCCAAAGGCCAAATCGACATGTTTCATCATGCTCAAGTCTTATCCCAGCTGGATCCTTTGCTGGGCTTGTCAGCTGGATGCATAGAAGGTAACCAAACAACTGGCACTGTCCTGGCCACTGCCTGCCAGCAAACCAATGATCCCAGCCTTACCCGACCAATCATTCTTCCCCACAGACCAGGAAAGTGAGATGACCTCTCAAAAGTACACACTAGCTGAGGAGCTGTTGGCAGTTGGTGGCTGCTTGGAGAGGGAGAGTGTTTTCTTCATGGATGTAGCCCCCGAGAGGCTTCTAGTGCTCCAGGAGATGCCCCTCCACCCAGCACACACTGGAAACACTAAGTGGATGCAGTGGGGTCTAAGGGGAAAAAGAGAAGGTACACGGGTTTAGAAGGGAATAGTGGTGAGGGGATGTAGGGGGAAAATTGGAATGGAGGGAATGAGGGATGGGTTAGATTGGTAATTTACTTCTCAAAACATTAAAGATGAATACAAAATAGAAAACTACACGACTTGTGGCTACCATGTTTGAAGAACTTGTAAAGAATCTGACATGCGGTCTTCTGCCACCATCTAGTTGTGGGCGCTTCCTCTTCTAGGTAGCTAGCTGTTAACCAGAATTATCCCAGTTTCCTCACGTCTGCTGTGGTTCTACCAACTTCACCTGCCTTGGGGAGCTAAAAAGATTGGCTATTTAATTGGGGAGAAGAACGTAATGATTCTGAGACAGCAGATTTCCGTTTACAGCCTTGACTCCTTCTTCCTATTTTATGAGGACAGAATCCCGGGTTGGCATGTGAGACTGACATGGACTTCTGACACCTACTCGGGGAGAATGTGAAGGACATCATCACATTCGAAAGGAACACTGCCTTTTCAGATGCCAAGCAAGAATTTCTGCCTAGTGATTGCTGTGCCCTTGGTTAAAAGCTAAAACGGTGTTTAGAACAATAATTTGGTGCATAAAAGCATATGAGTCAGCTCCTTAAGGGGAGAAACTATGGGAACAGAGAGACACAGGGTAGAAATGAGTGCCTCAATGTCAAATCCGGTACAAGCATTTTCCCCATGTGGCCTTCCAGCCATGATGACTTCATATCCTAGGAATGAAGAGAGTTTAGGGACAGGGGTGTGGAGTAACTTCTAACCTGAAAAACCTGCTGCCCTGACCAGGAGAAGGGAGAAGGGTTGTGATGGATACAATTATGCAAACGAACCCTTAGATGCTCCTCTGTGGTAGCCTTCCTGTTACACGGCCATCTTCCAGCCCACACACAGCAAGTGTGGCCTATGAGAGGGTGGGCAGGGGAAGGACCCGCTTCCATTTGCAAACACCTGTAAGTTCCCTCTTTCAGCATAGGAAGGTTTTTTTCAGTCCTGGGACTTGCACTCAGTGCCTTGCACCTGCTAGGCATGTGCCACACCACTAAGCTGTATACTGATTCCTTTTTTTTTTTTTTTTTACTTTTTCTCCTGAAATAGGGTCTTGGTAAGTTGCCAAGGCTGGTCTTGAGCTCACTGTGTAGCCTAGGCAGACCTTGAATGTGCGTTCCTCCTGTCCCAGCCTCCCTAGTAGCCAGAGTTAACAGACCTGCACTACCAGGCCCAAATATATTCTCTGAAATCAGGGTGTAGAATATGGACAAGTCTTGCTGCGTGAAAGAGTAGACGCAGAATAGGCTAGCAAAGGGTTTCTGGGGAAGGAAGACTGAGCCATGAGGTTTGGATAAAGGAACTACTAAAGCAAGAATTTCTTCCTAGTAGTCAACCTGTTCTCAACAGCTGTTCTCATAATGGATAATTTTGATAGGCTAGATAGGGGCAAGTCAGCATAGAGGAAGGTGTAGAAAATAAATTGTAGTCATCATTTTCACTTGTTTCACAAGTATTTTAAATACTATGGACACAGAACGGTGATGTACAGTGAAAAATTGAAATAATAGCTTTTGCTTATGAACACAGTGTGTATAGTATAGTATAGTATAGTATAGTATAGTATAGTATAGTATAGTATAGCTTTAATTAGAGATGAAGTCTTACTTTGTATCCCTGGAATTTGATGGCCTGGAATTCACTTTGTAGACCAGGCTGGCCTTGAACTCACAGAGATCCACCTGCCTCTGCCTCCCTAGTAAGTACTTGGGTTAAAGGTGTGTACCATGACACTAGGCCCATGAAGATTTATATATATATTCTATTTATATTTATATGTTCAGTCCTTACAACTATCTCAATATGGTAAGGTATTTGCTACTACACCAAGCCTACTTTACAAGTAGAGTTCAAGGCATAACAAGGCTGAACGATACACTCAATGTTGAAGCCAGTATCAAAGCCAGGGTTCAATCAAGACCTAAGCCTCTATGTCCTAAGCGTTTGTGAAATTATCTTAGTAGTTTCAGGATTCCTTTCTAAGATATAGCTAGGTTCATGCCAAACATTCTTTGCTCCAAGCATGTCTTATCAGAAGACAGCACTCGATTCCTTCTACAAAGAGAAGTCCTAAAGAACCCGAGCTGAAAACCAAGTGTGTGTTCATAGGCACCTGTAGTTTAGTACAAAGGTGCGGGGGATGGTGGTGGCTGGTAAGTCCCTTTCTGGTTTCCAATCTTTGTCTCACTTAGGCATTTTATTTGTGTGTATCTTTGTTGATGAGTTCTTGCTCTTTGAGATGGGTTCTTGCTCTGTGTCCTAAGTTGGTCTCTGCCTCACTGGGTAGCCCAGGCTAGTCTTAAACTCCAATCGTTCTGCCACTGTCTCACAAGTGCTGAGATTATAGCATCATGAGAACAAGGGAGGCTATGAAGGCATGGGAGCAGGGAGTCTGCCGGGAATCTCTTTCTTATGTATTATGTATGTGTATGCACATATGCCGAAGTGCACCTGTGGAGGTCAGGGGACAACTTTTGGGACTCAGTCCTTTACTTTCGCCATGGCATCATGGGTTTCAGATCTAAAACTCGGATCATCAGGCTTGTACAAGAAATGCTTTTATCTGTTGAGCCACTTCCCTAGCCCAATACTGTAACTCTTTGTACTGTTGTCTCGGTTTTTCCTGTGAACATAACAATATAAAGAACATCAAAAAATAAACTCCTTTAAAAACCCTGGATCACAATTTTGAGAGCAACAAGTAGCGGTGACAGTGTGACAATTGAACTAGCACGACAGCGTTGTCTCCAAAATGATCGCTTTAAATGTGTCTTTAGGAAACTAATTCTGTATAATAAACTATATGCTAAGTACTCCTAAAAGGTAGCATGCTTTGGTTCTTAACACATTAACCAGCTTGGATTCTAACTTAGCATCATTATTTGAGTTGACTTTGCCATCTTGCTGGGTTTTTTTTTCCCAGTAAGTCAAAGAAACTTTGCACATGTTATACTCAGCAAACTTTTCCTTCTTTCTCATCCTCCTTTGTTCCTTTTTCCACACTCCCTTGTTTTGCATCCTGAGAATCATACTTGACCAATGGTTCCGTTTTGTAAACAATGACAAAAACGTGGGTGGAATTAATTATTACAAACTCTTTTCATCAATTCTTAGTTTAGAGAATGGGGAGACTACTGGAGATTTCTCCTTTTTATTAACTAGTTTGGAATATTTGGATTTTATAATGCTTCACAAGACACATAATTAGAAGAGCATACTACTTAAAAAGTAAAGATGTATGGAAATTGATTCATACACAGCTGTCTTCACAATAGCTTTAAGGTTTGGATGAAGACAGGCACATGCTTCATAGAATGAACTAGAAATGTAAGGTAAATTATAATGGGTACCTTTGAAAAAAAAAAGGGCTGTCATCTGCTGAGTCTCTGCTGGATACCAAGGTCCACGTTGGATCATTTATAGACTTCCATTTGATTATCATGGTATTCTTATGAGGAAGATGTTCTCTATCTATGCGACCTTGGACAAGAATGACTTGTCCAAGGCCGCATAGTTTCCACTTCAATCTTTTTGACCCCAAGATTCCAGTTTGTTCCTGCTCTACCACACTGCCTCTCATGGATGGCAATTGTCATGATCCAGACTTCATAGCACAGAAGGCAGTGGACATTTTATACTCACCTTTGGATCTTTAAATGGAGTGGGCCCATTCATATACCATATAGAAAGGAACAAACAATGGGTCTCTTTAATAGGGGCCCTGATCTGGATTGAATTTACTACAGCCATCTTGGTTGTGCCTGCCATATTACTTAAAAGATGACCCTGGGATGAATTGAAATCCCAATATAATAAAAGAGTAAATTAAAATAGAGTATGTCCTGCCCTCCAACGAACTGTTTCATAATGAATACTTGCTATGTTTATAGTTTCTGAGAAATGTCAGCATACTTTTCATTTGGGATCAATGTAGGGATCAAGTGAAATCCTTAGTCAATGTGTGCTATTGACACATCCACGGCCATGTCAAGACCCCCAAAGCCTCAGCCCCATAGAAATGACCAATCTTTGCCTGGGTGAGGCTCAGAGGCATGGCAAAGCCTCCCTCTGGTCTGTGTGCAGCTGCTGATAGCATGTGCAGAGAATGTACACCATAGCTTCCTCCCTCCAGATGTTTATGGCCCAAAGACCATCAGGGACTGCTCCTACTGAGATTAGCCAAACCTGCCTCTTTGACTCATCTGTATCCCATAAGTCCTGCCTTCTTGATTCAGCTGTATGCATAACCCTGCTGTTCTGCTCATATGTGTATAACACATATGCTAAGCTTCTGGGTGAGAGGGATTGTGACTTCTCCATCAGAGATCCCAGTCCACCCCATCCTAGCTTTGTCTGTATGTCTTTAGTCATTGTCTTGCCCCCCCCCCCAGTCAGGCCAATCCCTGGAGCCATGCTGGACATAGCAGTCTGAAAGACTTTGAGACACCTTAGCACTACTGCACCCCCCATCCTGGGAACCAGGCCTCTAGCATTAGGAGGCACCTTAGCACTACTGCACCCCCCTTCCTGGGAACCAGGTCCCTGGTAACCAGCCACGCGTGCACTGGAGCTTTGAGTACTTTCCATCCCCATTGTAGTCTTTCTCCAATAGACCAGGACCCTGGAACTGGGGTGAGACGACCTGCAGGTGTTCCTCCTTGTAACCGCCATAACATTGATCAAGTAGAGTTAGCTGACCATTGTATGAACTAGTCAAAACAGTTGACAAATGATTTTTGGACTTTCCCTTTGATTCTGTACTACCCCCTCCCTGAATTTGTGTTTTTTTCCTTTAAAAGAGCTTGTAATAGACAAAGCAGGGTCCTTCTCCTCTCGAGGCTGAGGGACCTCTGCCGTGGCAGAATAAAAATTCCTCTTGCTATTGCATCAACCGTGCCGTGAGTGTCTCTTGGGGCGACCTCCTCCTTGGTGGGGCTTTAGGGCCCAACAAGTCCACCTTCAATTAACTTAGTGTATAAGCCCCCTTCCTTTTGTCTCAAGTTGCAGGGGTTCCCCATCTTGCCCAAGATACTATTTTTTTTTAATCTGCAAGTCCCTAATACATCACACTTTGTGAAACCTGGATTTTCTTTTTCTTTGGTCTCTTGGTGTTTTCTACTTTGGACAGTTGGTTTTTGCACATGAGCCTTCCCTGAAAGCTTAGCCAAACCAGCTTGTGGCTTAGCCGGCTCTAGAGGCTCTCCTCCCTCTGCATCCTCCTTGCTTTCCTGACCCAATTGGCTCTGCAGCTCTGGATTAACCAGCCTCTCTGCCTGACTCACTTGTTTCCTCAACTCACTCTTGCCCATTGAATTGACCCACTTTCAAAGGAGACATTCCTCCCACCAGCCGCAACCCCAAGGTACTCACACCAGCTAGACAAGCTTCTCCGTTGTCTAGACAGGAGAGGGAAGTTGAATAGGGATAGTCAGAAAACTATATTTTTCTTGGAGCGACATGCAAGAAACATGTGCTCATAGGGCAAGATCTGAATGCAACACCATAGCAGGAATGCAGTAATTTGCTTAATTAACAATGAAACTGAAAGTTGAAATTGTAAGAAGGGACAGTAAGTAATAGGGCAAATTGAAATTCTATGGGCGTAGTCTGGCCTAGAAATCAGTGAGGCTTTGGGCACCGACACAGCAGCAGAAGGAATGTATAAACTTGCCTGTAGTGGCTGTGTCTGGATGAGGTATGGGAATGAGTAGTAGCAGGCAATGGGATAGAAGCAAATGTTAAGGGAGCACTGTGAAAAGAGTGAAATTTTAACTATGCCTTGAAAGGTAAATAGGATTTTCATTGGTGATACCGGGTGGGGATGTATTTTTAGCAGAGAGAAGTGAAGACAAGTGAAGCCACAGAGGTATCGTGGCTTATCACAGATGTGTTCACTGAACAAGTGCATTCCAGATGTAGCATTTTAGGGATGAGGCACAGAGGTTAGGTTGCAAAGGCAGACTTGGAGACAGGAGAAATGCAGAGGGCTCTAAGATACTGGCTAAAAAGATTAATCTGAGTCAGGCGTGATGGCACACGCCTTTAATCCCAGCACTAAACACACAGAGGCAGCCGGACCTCTGTGAGTTCAAGGCCAGCCTGATCTACACAGTGAATTCCCCAGACAGCCACAGCTACACAGAGAAACCCTGTCTCAAAACAAAAGCAAAACACAAAACCTGAATCTGTAAGCTAGTTGAATAATAACTGAAAGCTTTAAAGTGCACACACAGAGATTCACATTTCAGAACAACGTGTGAATTTTATCACAGTGTGGATGTCCCCACCACTCCAGTCAAGCCACAGAACAGTTCCAACGCCCCATAGTATTCCTGTTGCTACCGACTTCTCTTCCTATTCTCCCTAACACCCACCAATCAGCGATCTCTTCTCTGTCCCTACAGTTTGTCGTTTGCAACTGATGACAAAACACATAAGCTCTCAAATTGAAGGCCTTTGAAGGAAGGGATGACTTGGCGAGGGCCCTTTCAGAAAGATCACTTTGCTTTCTGTGCGAAGGATAGTTAGGGGAGGGTAAAATGAGACGCAGGAAGACCAGCTGCAAGAGTTCAGACCAGAGATGACTGTTTGGTGCGTGTGGTCCATACTCATTAAAGGGAGGTTGCAGTCAGCGACACAGCTGTGGGAGGAAACTGCAATGGAACTAGGTCGTGTTGATGTCTCTATATTGCTTTCGCATATTTTAGTATGATTACCAAGGGGGATATAATAGTACACACACAACACAGTAGGCTGCAAAAGAACACATACATTATACTCCATATTTTATTTTCTAAAAGTGGCACCTATTTGTTTTCACAGAAAAATACCTGCAAGATACAGAAATGGACGTGAAGATCTGAAATTGTTATTGAGGCATAATGGACTCAACGGCAGTGGTGTTCTCTTCTAACATTCTACACTTTGGAGAAGCTCTATTTGCTCTCCTGCCAGCCTTCCCCAACCCTGATGCTTCCGGACTAAGTAAGAGAGCAGGTGACATAAGTCCACTTCTTTCATTCCTGTAGCCATAGGGACATGGTCGCCACAGCACATTTTAACCAGCTATTATCTCTTTGTTATTGAGGTATTGTGACTTGAGCAAGATTATACAGCTAATTAAGGGTAATTCAAATAATCAAATCCAGGGTTCATAGCCCTAGCAATATTTCTTTTGTCAATTTTTTAATAACCAAAAATGTATAAGCATACATGAAAGAATAATATAGTAGGCTTCCATGGACCAGCCCTTGGCTTCAGCAATCATTATTTTCCATATTCTTTTATATTTTTTCTAGTATTGGGGACCGAACCAGAGCCTTGTGCACCTAAGCCAGCACTCTACCAATGAGCTACACTCCAACTCCGCTTTGTGAGTCTTGTTTCGCTTAGATACCAATCACTTTTTCGTTTCCACCTAGCTAGAAGATTCAAATAAAATTTCACAAAAATGACTTTGGCAGACATCTGTAGTACGGATTTTCTGGTTATAAAAGAACAAGTACTATGTCACGAACAGGTCAGGTCAATGGAAATTATCAATAATTCCTTAATTCTTTGCCAGGAATCCAATTTTTATAGTTGCTTTCAAACTGCCTTTTCACAGTGAGCTAATTTCGATCAGGGTCCAAATGACCAAATAACTGAACTTAGTTGATGAACTCTCAGTTCAGTTTTATTCTATAAAACGTTTACCTTTGCTTTCCTTTTCCTTTTTTTTTCTTTTAAAAATAGTCTCACTGTGTATCCCTGATTATTCTGGAACTCACTCTGTAGGCCAGGCTGACCTCAGACTCACAGAAGTCTGGCTGCTTCTGCCTCCTGAGTGCTAGAATTAAAGGCATGTGCCACGATAATCAGCTTCTCTTCCTTTTATGATATCACTGATGTACTTTTAAAAATCCGAGTTCTCTATTTTTTGAAGTAGAGTTGGGGTTAATGGAGAGACATTTTTAAATACAGATTTTAAGCACAGGGTTAATGAAATGCTTGGGGAAAGAGAAGGGTAGATTAATAGTGAGTAGATTTAGGTTAATTGATGTGCAAAGCTCCAATCTAAATGTGGGCAGGGCCATTTCATGTGTTGGAGTTCTGTATAGAAATAAAAGGAGGAAGCAAACTGAGTGCCCACATTTATCTCTCTGTGTTTCCTGACTGTGTATACAGTGTTACAACCTCTCTCCCATTCCTGCTACCATGTCTTTCTGACTTGAATGGACTATACCCTCAAATCATGAACCAAAATAAACCCTTTCTTTTGAGTTTCTCTTACTGGGTATTTGATTACAGCCAGAAGAGTAACTAACACAGACACCAAAAAGACGATGCTGTGGACTTCCTCTTGGTAGCACACTATGCCTACCTCCTTGATTTTGACCGATGGGAGCCTTCATCAGTGGGATCAAGGGATACTTGCCGTCTTCGCACTGTAAAGACTGTCATCGGAGAGGTAGATTTAACTCAGTTGGTAGAGTGCTTGCTTAGGATGGCTGAAGCCCTGGCTTGGATCCCAGCACTGCATAAATTGAGGAGTTGGGGTATAAGCCTGCACTTAGGAGGTAGAAACATGACGATTAGAAGTTCATGCTTAGCTGGGCCAAGCCTGGGATGCCGACCTGACAAACATGAGATTCTGCCTCAAAATAAATAAATAAATAAATGGATACACAGCATAACATAACAAAGTAAGCTTCCTATCAACTTACCTAATTAATTATTGCCTTGACCCGAATTGCAACATGGTGTTTTTTTCTAATGCTAATGCTTTTCTTCTGTTGGATTATTCTATAAATAGGTACTCTTTCATCAGCTGTCTTGCTACTTTGAGTCACGCCGTGTTAAGGAAAAGGCAAGATAAATGCTTTTTCTCTTGACCAGTTTTATTAAAACTAAATTAAGATGTATTAAGCCTTAAGGGTTTTGGGGGGATGGATGGAAATGGGGGCAGTCCTTCAGTGCTTAGGTGGGCCACTTACAGCTGTGCCCCGGCCTTAGTGCTCTGCTCGTGTGAACCACCAAGTGAAGCCAGCAGTGTGAGTGCCCGCAAGCTTTCCAGAGCATACATTCAGCTCTGGGTGCACGCATGGCTTCTCATTTCCTCAATTTACAGAAGTCATGTTTAAATCTCTCTTTCACACGTGCATTCCTTTATTGCCTCAGACCTGAAAAAAACATTTCTTCAAAGGACTCCAACTCTTTTCCATAGAAAAATATATTTAAAGATCAAAGCCTGGGCACTTTGGGTGTTTGCTTGCTGTTGGGTTGTCATTGCTTCTGAACTTTCAGATGGAAAAATCTAGGAAGAACATAATTATTACAATAAAATATGTATTTTTCCTTCCGTGGCAGTGCTAGACCTGCAGGTCTCCCTTCTGAGATTAGTCTGCTTTCCAAGAGGGTTGAGGGATATGCAACAGAAGAAGACATCTTCCAGACATGGGGCAAGGGACATGGACATGAAACCTAAGACTGCCTTTGCACTCACCAACTCCTGTGGCTGGGATTATATGCACAAGACCTGCACAAAGTTAGTCCATCAGCTTTTCATCGTGGGTGGCGAGGGCCTCATTTGGCTCCATCCCTCCCTCAGAGCCTATTGACAAATAATGGTTGTTCAAGAAGGAGGCGATATAGCCACTGCTAAGTTGTCCCTACTCCATTAAATGACCCCCACCATGCTCTCAAAAAAGTCAGTGGGTCACAGGCAAAAATACGACATGAAAATAGGAGGGGGTATGTAGTGAAAAGTATTTTAGTAGAAGAGAGAGGAGATAAGAGAGCACATTGGGGTGATGGAAACAGAATTCATTGCATCTACATATGGAACCCAAAACAATAATAAAAATAGGGGGAAAGAATAAGGCCTACTTTAAGAGACACCACGATAAATTTAGAAGAAGACGAGAAAGTGAAACTGATGACTATGTTTGGAGCTACTTGGCAATCCAGAATAAAAATAGTACAACATGCACAAAATACCCAAGGATGCATCATGTGCTGGCAGAGATACCGTTTGTCCGGTTGTTCCCACCTGCATGGAAGGAAGCTGACAATGTAGCTTATACACACCCACTACCAATGTGACACAAGCCCTGGCTTGATGATGGAATACACTGTGGCATTTTGTTTTAACACTCAGGCTTCTCAGTGAGTGCGGCAGGGATAAAATCCTTAAGAGGCACATAGAGGTAGCCAGAAATGGATAAAATTTGGGATGCACTGATGGATAACCTGAGGCCACTCCCATTTGAATGCAGGCCCTGCTGGCACTACGTCTTGTGTCCATCGTTTTTGGGGCTCTGAAGGGAGAAATGAATGAGGTCTGTCTGTCCATCACAATATCCAGGGATGCCATGATTATGATTTTGAAAGGAAGGAACTTAATGCACAAGTATACTGAGAACACATTGAGGGTTGTATCATTGCAGACCAAGTGTGGTACCTGATGGGAGAAGATGAAGATGCCTATGGGAAACAGAAAGAGCAACAAAGCTTCAAACATCATGGGATAGATGTCCAAGAAAGTTACTTGTTGAGTAGAAAACAATCTAGTCTCACCTGCCAGCACCACAGGAAGTCTCTCCCTGGAATTCTGCTGGCCAAGAAATCAAGTACGTGATTTCCACTCTTCTTCCAACTCCAGTTCCCTACTCTTGTTCCCAGCTCAGTAGCAGACGAGCTGCTGCAGCCTGTGCTGCCTCTCTGCCCCCATCCAAAGGGATTTAACAGATCTTCTCTTCTAGCCTGCCTTTTTCACACTGTGTCTCACCTGCCAATACCCAAGGTAGTCTCCCAGACTTGCTGGCCAACTACAAATCCGATAGAGCGCTAATATCTAAAATACATAAAGAACTAAAAAAACTGAACATCAAGGGTTGTGGTTTGAAAGAAAATGGCCACCAAAGGGAGTGGCACTATTAGGAGATGTGGCTTTCTTGGAGTAGGTATGGCCTTGTTGGAAAAAGTGTGTTGCTGTGGACCTGAGCTTTGAGTTCTCCTATGCTCAAGCTGCTCCCAATGTCACAGTTCATTTCCTGTTGCTGGCAAGATACAGGACTCTCAGCTGCTTCTCCAGCACCAGGTCTGCCTGCACACTGCCATGTGACCCGCAGTGATGATTATGGACTGAACCTCTGAAACTGCAAGTGAGCCACCCCAATTGTGTGTTTTTCTTAGAAGAGTTGCTATGGTCATGGTGTCTCTTCACAGCAATAGAAAACAAATACTCCAATTAAAACTGGAGTGCATGCTGGGAGGTGGTGGTGCACGCTTTTAATCTCAGCAGCACTCTGGAGGCAGAGGCAGGTGGGTCTCTGTGAGTTCGAGGTCAGCCTGGTCTACAAGAGCTAGTTCCAGGACAGGCACCAAAGCTACACAGAGAAACCGTGTCTTGGGGAAAAAAAAACACATCTAAATGGAGAATACTCACAAGAGGAAGCCCAAATGGCTGAGCAGCTCTTAAAAGCTCACATTTTCTTTTATAGTGAACTTAATAGCATGTTGCCTTTGAGAATCTTAAAAAAATTGACTAATATTCCTAATGGTCTAAGTAACTGTATTCAGTATCCATTTTGTTTGTTTTTATATGTATAAGTGATTATCTACATGAGTATGTGCCATGTATGTGCCAGGTGTATGCAGAGATCATAAAAGCATGTCAGATCCCCTGGAGCTGTGATTATAAGATGGTTGTGAGCCACCATGTTGGTGCTGAAAATTGAACCATGGTCCTCTGCAAGAGCAGGAAGTTCTGACCACTAAGCTCTCTCTTCAGTCCCTGCATTCAGTATCCTTTGTTTTAAAATCCATATAACATTTTGATCATGGTTTTCCTTCCCCTGTTTCTATCCTGATTCTCCTCACTTCATCACCCATTCAACTCCATACCTTCTTTCTCTCTCTCTTTCAGAAAAGAAACCAGTAAATAAAAAAAATCAAAAAACTCCACCAGAATTTAAAAGTGCAAAAAATGCACACGAAGCACACACACATGAAACCTATAAACTCACACGCACACACACACATACACACAAATGTTCAACATCCTTAGTCATCAGGGAAATATAAATCAAAACTACCTTGAGATTTCATCTTACACCAGTTAGAATAGCCAAGATCAATAAAACAAATGACAGCTCATGCTGGCAAGATGTGGAGTAAGGGGAACACTCATCAGTTCCTAGTGGGAATGCAAAGTTGTACAACACTTTGGAAATCCGTGTGACAGTTCCTCAGGAAGAAGGGAATTGATCTACCTCAAGATGCAGCTATACCACTCTTGGGCATCTACCCAAAAGATGATTCATTCTACCATAGAGACACTTGCTCAGTCACGTTCATTGCTGCTCTATTTGTAATAGCCAGAAACTGGAAACAGCCTAGATGTCTCTTAACAGCTGATGGGATAAAGAAAATGTGGTACCTTTACACAATAAAGTATTACACGGTTGTGGAAAATGAAATTCATGGGTTAATAAATGGAATTAGAAAAAAATCACCCTGAGTGAGGTGACCAGATTTCCAAAGATAAATATGGTATATACTTGCTTATGTGTAGATGTTCACTGTTAAATCTTCAATAAGCAGGCTACAATCTATATAACCACAGAGGCTAGGTATGAGGTAAGAAACTAGGTGGAGGATTAGCTCACTCTAGGAAGCAAAAATAGAGTAGATATTTATAGATGGATGGTAGCGGGGGATTGGAACAGGAGGATCAAATAGTGAGAGGGAGTGAAGAGAGGGGCGGGGAAGGTCATATGGGGAGAGGCAGCTAAAACTAAGGACCACTGAGGGGCTGTATACAGTAGTAGTTTCCTAAAATATAAAAACATATGAAAGTGATATAAATGTAATTGCCAAATAATCGTGGAGACAGAGCTTCAACTGGATACCTCATAACCAAGCAAAGCTTCCAGTTTGGGGAATGGGTTACATCCAATCTAATTGTTGGCCAAAAGGGTACTAAGGGAACCCCCAAACAATCCAAGGTATTTTCAAGGTTGTTCAATGGTCTCCACAAACTGATGCTAAAGCCTTATTGCTGAAGACAACACCTATATAATTCACTGTACATGGAGAAGTCAGGCTAGTACATAGCTAGAGCCTTCAGCCCCACTGACTAGTGTTCACAGTACAGGAGGAGCTCTGCATACTACCAGAGGAGAAAGGCAAACCCCAGGCCAGTTAGAAACCCCCTTTGATCTACAGTGGTGACCTGCCTGCAAGACGTGTTAGCGCAATAGTGGTACAAATCTTGTGGATCTAATCAACCAAGATCTGATTGAGTTTAGGATCTATTTCATGAGATGGAACTTATCCCTGACACATCCAGGGTGGCCAAGAATCTGAGATTGGATAGGCTGGGGATCTATGGGAAAACTGAATACTATTGCTCTGCTAAGGAATATAGCAATAAAATGGGTCCTGTTGACATTCTGCTACACTCATAGATCAGTGTTGTGTTCATCCATTGTCAGAGAAGCTTCTTCCTGCAGCAGATGGGAACATACAGAAACCCATGACCAGACAGTGTGGACAAGGTGAGAGATCTTGGAACACTCAGCCCTAAATGAGATGTCCCATTCCCTCCTTTCAGGGCTCAGCAAACCGTGCAGAAGAGGAGGCAGAAGATTATAAGAGCCAGAGGGGATGGAAGACACCCAGGAAACAAGGCCTTCTAGACACAGCAGAGCCACACATATGAACGCACAGAGACTGGCAGTGTACACAGGGCCTGCATGGGTCTAGTCCTGATGGTGTCCCAGCGCTAAGAGGGGACGTGGACACAAGCCTGCATCCCCAACCCAGAAGCTATCACCAATTGATAATCACTAGCAAATGAAAAATTAGTTTTCTCCAAAAGAGTCTTAACTGGGTACACAAATTAGTCTCAAGGCCAGGTCCCTTGCCCACAAGTAGATGAGAAGCACAAAACAAACTCAATGATGATTTTATTTATTTATTTTTTTTCGAGACAGGGTTTCTCTGTGGCTTTGGAGCCTGTCCTGGAACTAGCTCTGTAGACCAGGCTGGTCTTGAACTCACAGAGATCCGCCTGCCTCTGCCTCCCGAGTGCTGGGATTAAAGGCGTGCACCACCATCGCCCGGCTTTCAATGATGATTTTAAAGTTGCTTGTCTCACAATGCTTTGTCTGGGAAGCTTTTTTCTTTTTCTTTCTTACTCTACAGGTCTTTAGCTTATATATTATGATTTCTGATTTTGTATCTTTATGGAGTTTCTGTGTTTGCCAATGTGTCTATATGTGTTTCTTGTGCTTTTTCATTGCTTTTTTTTGTTTGTTTGTTTGTTTCTCTGTTCTTTGATTTCTATTCAGGTTTGTGTAGTTAGAATTTTCTTTGGGCTGCCAATCAGCACCCAAATAAAGACACAGAGACTTATAATTAATTATGAGTGCTTGGCTTTATCTTAGACTTGTACCACTATCTCTTTTAACTTAATTTAACCTTTTCCTATTCATCTCTGGTTTGCCTTGGGGCTTTTTACCTTTCCTTCATTCTGTATGTCCTACTTTCCCGCTTCCTCAGTGTCTGGCTGACTGGCCCCTGGCGTCTCCCTGGTGTCCCTTTTTCTTTCTTCCTCCAGCCTAAATTCCTCCTCCTCCTTACTCTCCCTGCCTGGAAGTCCTGCCTATACCTTCTCCCTTGCTATTGGCCATTCAGCTTTTTATTAGACCAATCAGGTACCTTAGGAAGGCAAGGTAAAACAGCAATATATCATTATATAATTAAGCAACACATCTTTACATAGATAAACAAATATCCTGCAGCATAAACAAATGCAACAACGTCTTTACATAGTTAAACAAATATTCTACAACATAAATACAATACATCTTTATGTAGTTAAACAAATACTCTGGAACATAAACAAATGCAATATATCTTTACATAGTTAAACAAATGCAACACATCTTTGCATAGCTAACCAAATATTCTGCAACACGTTTATTTTCATTTTATTATTTTTTTTAGGCACCTGTTTGTTTTCTAATGAGAGAGAACAAGAAATGATGTGAATTTCGGTGGAGAGGTAGGTGGGGAGAGTTGGGGGAGGGGAAGATATAGTCATAATATATTGTATAAAATATGTTTTCAATAAAAATGATGATCTAGTCTATGACAGGGATCCTAATAAATCATTTAAGAAGTAGTGGAATGCTCCTCCAAAGCTCTTTGCCTACAAGAGAGATTGGATAGCTTGAAAGAAGCTTCCATGGAATGCTACAGGAGTCTGCAGAGCTAACCCAAGCAATGTTGTTCTGCAAAGACTTCAGATGAAGACAATACATTTAGTGAGCGAGCCAGAAGAGAGAGGAGAGAAGATGGGGGGAGAAAGGGAAATGCATGCAGAATGATGTTCCGAATTTTAATTCAGTGAAAAGGAATTTTAGCTAGCTACACTATGTTTGTGTTTTTCTTAAATTTATAGCTATGTTAACTTCATACTTATTTGCTTAAGGCAGTTTATGGTTTTTGTGGTTAGTTTTGTGTTTAGACCGAATATCACTACAGCTGTGTCATCATGATTATGTATCTTAAAGTCACTGGAAGTTATTCGCTTATTTGTACAATTATGCCACTGACTGGACATATAATTCGGGTACATTTGTTTCCATTGGTTACAATTTTAGGGCTTGGTTTTGTTCTTTTACTTGATTTTATTTTAGCCATACTTCCAAAATCATAGCTAGAATTTCGCTTCCATTCCTATCAGTCCCCCATTCCATTTTCCTTTAGTTTTTTTTTTTTTTTCCAGATTTGGGTTCACATTTCTGATGTTCACTTTTTCTATCTTGGAACTCATTCTACATCGATATAGGAAGATTGCTTTCATACGATTCTTTAACTCCGTTACTGCAGTATGTAGGTATGTTACGTCTATTTAGCCTATTGACATTGAGATGATGTCAACACATAACATTGCACATACTCTAGTTGCAGTTTTTCCAGTATGTAATTGCAATAGCATCTGGGAAGTGATATATCCCTGTTTAATTTGTACTGGATATCGGCAAATTCACTTCACCTGGGGCTATTCTAGTTTGCGTTGCCACTCCGACCAGAGCCAATGTGACTCAGAATAGTAATTTGGGCCTTTCGCCTCACTCACAGACATATTCGGTGCTTACGTCTTATTATTTTCCTTGTGACATACCTTGCACTAAAAACAAGTGAATTGCTTGGTAGCAGTAAGGAAACTTTGGTGACAAGCCTTGTCTTGCTATGAGTCACTTATCAAGCTGCCTGCCTGGGGCTGAAGAACGTTCCAGAACATATTAAACAGCCTTGACTGACAGAGTCCACATTGTCTCTAACTACACCAACCACGTTTGTGTAAAGAGTGAAACATTATACACGCATAGCTACATCTCCCTAAAAGAATTGTTTGCTGTTCATCATGAGCCATTGAAGGAAGCCTGTTGAAGGCTTTCCCGGCACAAACCCATTGTTTCTGTGGTTGTTGATCTTGCACCTGGACATTTGCCCTCATGTCTGTCACAGCCTCTCTTGAGTTTCCTTGGAGCTCTCGCCATCTTGTGGCAGGACAGGAGGTTTGAGAACTCTTCCGAGTTCCTAAGTAAAGAACTTGTGTGGTGTTTGTACGTTGTCTATAATTTACTTCAAAGTACTCCACTTTCTGTGATGTGTCATATCTTAGTTCACTTAAGTTGTATATTTTTGAATTTTATCACCTCTGAAAGTTGTGTGAATTTTGCTATCAATGTCATAGCATTTGTTCCTGTTTTTGTGTATTATTGAATGATAGATCTTATAAATCCATAGTATCTTGGACTCAAAGAATCACTTCTTTAATGAAATATCGCATCTGTCTATACAGTAATATTTTGAACTTTTAGTCTTGGGTTGAGGTTGTGGAGGTAGGAAGGAGGGGTACATTTGTTATGTAGTTTAAAGAGGAAAGAACTATACATATTTATCCTTATTGCCGAGGCATTTTTGTAGTTCAGCTTATATTGCTTTTGATCCATAGTCTTTGTATTTGATTAATCTTAATCAAAAATACGTACTGAGAAGTGATTACTTAGTATCTGAAATAGCTTACTCAAGTGTCCACTCCTCTAGTGTAGCTGAACCTTAGGCTATTTACTTTACCTCATCTGAAACCTACTCAATCAAAAGTTTTTAATCTTTCTCTGTGACCTGCATCCATTTGTCAAAGTGTGGTTATTGCCCTCAGCAATAATATAGTATAACTGGCATATTAGCAGCACGGGAAGTAATGCTTTTTGTATACTTATTCAGTATGAATGATCAAGCTAAGCTAATTAACTTAGCCATCACCTCACATCACCACATCGCACAGATATTGTTCATGGTGAGAACACTACATCTCTATTTCTCAATCATGTTCAAGCACATCATACATTTGCATGGTCTACGGTTGTAATGTAACACAGTAGATCCCTGGTCTTTCTCCCCATGTGGCCTCCCAACTCCATTTTGAATGACTTTTTTTTTACTGTTGTGCTTTTCACAATAAATGATGATATTTCCTTCCTTTTAAAGGCTACATAGGATTTATGGTGTATGATTTCTTTATCCATTCATCAGTTGAGGAAGAGTTAGTTTTCCCCTCCCTGGCTATTGTGAACGATGCTGCGACACACACAGGAGGGAAATCAATACATTGATTTCATTGCCTTCAAATAGATATTCAGAAGTAGGGTCACTTGATGCAGCAGCTTTTCTTTTCTTTTTTCTTTTGAGGAATTTCCATAATGATTATGTTAATTTACATCCTTACAACAGCGTGCAGGATTCCTTTTTTCCTTCATCCACACCAGCATTCATCTTTTAAAATAATATTAGTCATTGTCTCCTACAAATAATGGAACTGGCCTTCCCCTGTAATCAGATTGGTGACAACCCTAATTGTCATCATAGAACCTTCATCCAGTAACTGATGGAAGCAGATGCAGAGATCCACAGCCAAGCATTGGGCTGAGCTCAGGGAGTTCAGCTGAAGAAAGGGAGGAGGGGTTATATGAGCAAGGGGGTTCAAGATCCTGACACAGAAACCCGCAGAGACAGCTAATCCAAGCTTGTGGGAACTCATGGACTCTGGACTGATAGCTAGGGAACCTGCATGGTACCAACCTAAGCCCTCTGCATGTAGGTGACAGTTGTGAGGCTTGATCTGCTTGTGGGGCCCCTAGCGGTGGGACCAGGACCTGTCCCCGGTGCATGAGCTGACTTTTTGGAACCTATTCCCTATGGTGGGATGCCTTGCTAAGCCTTGATGCAGTAGGGAGGAGCTTGCTCCTGCTTCAACTTTATATGCTAGACTTTGTTGATTCCCATGGGAGGCCTTACTCTTTCTGAGGTGTGGATGTGGGGGTAGAAAGAAGATGGGGGGAGGTAACAGGATGAGAAAAGGGAGGGGAAACTGGGCTTGGATGTGTAAAATAAACTAAAAAACTAATTAAGAAATACTAGTCATTGTGACTGGAACGCAGTGACCTCACCCTATGGCTGAGATTTGCATTTCTCTGTGCACTAGGAAGGTTGAGCCTTTTTATTTCTTCTCAAATGTTTGCTCATGTCCTTGCACATTTTAAAAACTAGTTATCTGCTTCCTTGTTATTGAGTTTCTTTTCATATTTTGATTATTAATCAACTCTTTATTTGATATATAGTTTGTGAATATTTTCTCCCATTGTGTAGGTGTCTCTTTCACACTATTTTCTTCACTGAGCAGAGATTTGTAGTTTGATGCAATGCTGTTCTTCTCTTTTTACTTGTGTAGCCTGTACTTTGACGTTCAATAAAAAATGAATATTTTTTTATTATATTGAGTTTTAGCTGATAAATTTAAGTACTCAATTGATTTTGAGTTGACATTCTCATATGGCAGTGCAACACTGTCCTAAGTTCATTTCTATGCGTGTGGATATGCAATTTTCCCAGTACTATTTATTGCAGTGACTGTCCTTTCTTCATTGTATGTTCTTTGTGCCTACAATGAAGATCAACTGACTATACATATGTGGATTCACTTTCAGGGCCTTTTATATGTTGTAGTTTTCTGGGGTATCTGTTTTTATACTTGTACTATGCTGTTTTAATTAACACACCTTTGTTGTTTATTTCAAATGCAGGTAGTGTGAATGTATTTCACTTAGTACTTTTAGGTCAAGTTTGATCTGTCTACTTAGAGTCTTTTGTGGTTCCATGTGAATTTTAGGATTCTTTTTTTCTATTTCTGAAAAAAAACCCCATCTAATTGGAATTCTGATAGGGTTTCTATTGTACCATGGATCTCAAAGCAAAAATAAATCATCAAAGTGGGAAAGTGATGTGTAGAAAGGATGGAAGGGCAATAAGAGAAGGTGAAGGAGTATTGAAGGATTATAGTAATCAGAACACACTCCATACATGTATAAAATAGTTAAAGACAAAATTCAGTAAAGGTGTATACACACACACACACATACATGTATATACTTTTCTCCCTGTGCGTGTGTGTGTGGAAAGAGAGAGAGAGAGAGAGAGAGAGAGAGAGAGAGAGAGAGAGAGAGAGAGAGATTGAGTGAGGGTACCCCCTATAGGTATCAGAATCCATGAGATCCCAGTGCCAGGTGTGGGTTACTTCCCTATGAGTTGTTGGTCAGGAAGGCACCAGAGGCCCCACCAAAAGTATAGGGTATTGCCATTTCTCTTGGATGCACAGCAGAACTGGGTGGTAAGACCCCATTGCTGAAGATACCACACATTTTGGTTACAAGACACAGAAAAGCTGGAACTGAACTGGAAAGCTCCCTTCTGACTAGCTTCATAGTGCTGGAAAGTGCTATGCAGGCTGCTTGGGGAGAAAGGTCATCAGCAGTCTCACTCAGCTGTGAACCTTACAAACTGCAATAGTGATCTGCCAGGCATGATATTACCCTCTGGTGCAGTACTGGCATGACTATTATAGGGATGACCAACCACTTTCTGATTAGATTTGAGGTCCACTCTATAGAAGGGAACTCATGCTTAGTCCTATAAACCCATTCAAGTGTCCCTGACTGGGGAGATCATAGGCACTAGGGAGAAATCTGCTATTGTTTTAATAAATGGCCACGTTAAACTGCCTTCTAAAGGCTAATATTTGTGTTAGTACTGTGTTCAGCCTTTATCAGAAAGGTTATAATTGCAGTAGATAGCAGTTAGTGGAAAAGATTGTGACTAGCCAAAGTACCAGGAATAAATGATGGTGGAGTGCTTAGTCTAAAGGGACATCGGTCTCACTCCCTCCAAGATTCTGAGAGCATCATGGAAGAGGGGGAGGAAAGAAGGTAAGAGCCAAAATATGGGGAGATGTGTAGCAAAAAGGTATCTTCTGGACATGACATAGCCAGTTCACCCATCAACTCACTGCACCTGTGGCAATTTGTACACCACAAGGACAAGACTGAGCCTGTCACCAGTTCATCAGGGATTGGAGAGGGGCCCACGAAGCCTCGCTCCTCCCTGAGGTACTTGGGAGCGCGGTTCATGGGTGCTGAGGAGTTGTCATGTTCTTTAGCAGCGCAGTCGCTGAGAAGCTGCCCTTGGTCTATTAAATAGCCTCCCAGCTATGCGTGTACCAGTAACTCGTAATTAAAGTCAAATGCAAAAAGAAGACATGAAAGAAGGAGGGACTTGTTGGGAAGGAGAAAAGTTTCAGCAGGATAGGGAGGGAGAAAAGAGAGAGGAAAGAGGTGGCATTGACTCAAATTTATTATATACATGTATGAATCTGTCAGAGGTTAAAAAATTGGGAGAAAAGGTGGACTTTCCCTAGTTGTCTTTTATAGTAGTAAAGCTGGCATTTCCAGAAAGCAAGGAAGGAAGAAAGCAAGGAAAGAAGGAAGGAAGGAAGGA